ATGCTAAATATGGTCATATGTTTTCTTCCCTCCATTGTTATAAATGACTTTTTTCTTAAGACTCAGTCTCTGCAGTTTATCCCTTTATTATACTTTTAGAAACACTCACAGAAAATATGAACCTAATAAAAACATGAATAACCACAGATCAGATACCAGCAGCCCTAGCAAGGGGGTCAGCAACATAGCACCCATAGATGCCAGGGTACCTCTAATGCCACTAGATGGCAGCCACTGAACTCCAGCTTTAAGGAAAAAAGAAAACAAAAACAAAATTGAGAAGTTCCCTCTAAGCCCAGCCTCATTAGATTCAGGATCTATCAGAGCATTCCAATAACAGAAGAAGATTCACTGGCAAAAGAATGTCCTCTGCAGGACCAATGGCAAGTTTCTCTGTATCTCCCGCATTCCTTTCCCACATTTCTAAGTGTGAATTTTATCCTGGAGGACTTAATTAGCACACATAAGAACTAGCTATAGGTTGGGGCCACCCACAAATTCTTGGTGTAAAGTGACACATTGTTCCAAAAAGGAAGCAAAAGATGTATATGCCACATCTCCAACTCTCCCATCTGTTAATGCTGAATTCCAGACCAAAATGAACACAGCCTCCTGGGAATGTTTCCTTTGCAAGCCTCACTCAAACTAATGCAAGATAGCTATTTTGCTGCATCTTCATATCCTTTTAAATGGGGTTATGCCGGTCATGTTACTGAGTGCTGAACTCTGATGGCTGAACTGTAAGAAAAAGCATTATTTTTGTGAAGCAATGAAAATCTCTCAGATCTAGTCGTTTTACCTTTTGTGAGTCTCACTGGAATCTTCTATTTCCTCATATCCCATGTGAAAGACACTGGAAAATGAATCCTAAAAATGAGAACAGAGTTTGGGCTTAGTTAAAATGTATAGTAAAATTGATTGTATTTCAAAAGCACATAATTCATTTATTTCCTGCCCAGTGAAAAATGACTTCAAGAAACTATCAATTGTTTACTGTATTTCATAAAGTATTTTAAGACCCAGGATAAACAAAACTAATATAGTACAATGTTTATACAATATTTTCTAATTTATACAGTATATTAGGCTCCATTTAATCCCCCTACTTCATAATGAGCTTCAACCTATATGTTGAAGATGATGATGATTCAAGTACTATCTTTCTTCAGATAGGGTATTTAATATTACTAATAATTTAAAAAGTTCTTTAAAATCTGATAAAAAATAGTAAAAATCACCATTAATTAATTCAAACTGAAAAGTTTTAACTTCTTTTTTCCTAAAAAAATAAGCCAGGGGACTGTGTGCAATTCCAAAAAGTGTGCTTTCCATAGCTTGGGAGCAACACAAGAGAAGGTCCTCTCCCATTAATCAGACCAACAGACCTTGGGAAACAACAGCATCTTCAAGAGGGCCTCTCTGATTGACCTTGGCTGAGTAGGTTCATATTAACATTAGCAGTCTCTAATAGCCAAGCCCAAGTCTGTTATTGTGTGAAAGGTCAGTACAACACCTTAAATTGTGCCCATAAGCAATCCACAATTAGTGCAGACCTTTCAACATGGCATCATATGCTTCTAATATTATATTGTGATTGGCAACCTAATTACTTATCAGGCTTCCGAATACTATCCAAGGGTAGTCACCATGTAGTAGTCAAATCAGGATGCAACTAAGGCGTAAATAACTGTTGGCCAATCCAATTGGCTGAGGCACTATCTGTAATTGTGCACATACACACTTTGCCATTGGCACAACTGGCAATTTGCCAGTTGGAATAAAGTGAGAGTCCATACTTACTGAACAGTCTTCATCCACTATGAAAATAGTGCACTTCTGCACCTGCATGAAGGAAATTATGGTGGCCGCTATCTTCTTCAGAATGACTTCTAAGGATTGCTGTTCCTCAAATATTAAACTGGCGAGATCAAGAAGCACCTGCAACAGAAGAAAAAAGAAATTAATATAAGTCAAGTTCATCACATTTTAATCATCTTGAAGGCAGGTTTTTTTCCAATAGCTCCAGGGCTTTTTAAAGAAAGCCATATGATTGCATTAAGGCTTTTTTATTTTTATTTTTTAATGTTTGGTTTTATAACTTTTAACTGTATTCATGTTTTTTCGTATGTTGTAAGCCGCCCAGAGTCCCCTATTGTGGGAGATGGGCGGGGACAAATTAAATAAATAAATAAATAAATTTACTAAATGTTTAGTAAATATTCTATCAAGGTACACAAATTCATCTACTCCTTTAGTTTTTTCACCATTTATGTACTTATGCATAACTTGCAATTTTTTACTCCATCGTTCCTATTCAACACAACTGCCTTGGTGATTTATACATTAATTTTACAATCCATATCCTTTTTCACCATAAACAATGAATCAGTCATACTTTTTTATTAATTGTTTCTCCAGGTGTACATATGAATAGACTTATACTTAAATCATGTAATCAAAAGAAACAGATCTTTTTCTATGCTGATGTACACTATGCTTATTATTTTTATTCATACCTTGATTTCCAAATACCACAATCCCTTTTTCTATATACTCTTCTTTTTAAATTTTCAAAATTATTATTTTATTACATATATAACAAAGAAACAAACATGACTATACATATACTGAACCTTACACCTTCTAGTGAGGTACACCATAATACTGTACAACAAATTAAAGAGTTTGATAGAAAAAGTGAGACAAAACAAGCAAGCTTCAAAAGTACAAAATGGAATCTGGCCATAATTAGCTATAGGATGTGCTCAATGGCTTCTAACAGTAAGAGCAATAACTAGAAATTTCACAACCTTCCTAGGAATTTCAATAAATCAATCCTGCAATATAATTTTTGCTTGAAATTGGTCTCAACCAAATAATCCAGCAATAATTTTTGGTTTGGATTAGTCTCAAAATGTTAGCCTAATTTTAGGTGTAAGATACAGGATAATTTAATAGTATGGATCATGAATTCAGCTTCAATATCTGAACAAATGCATTGGTGGTCTTGTTAAGGAATGTAACTGTAAATTCCCTTTTTCACCATTCAGGGCAAGGCTTTGATTCATGCTAATGTAAATACCCTTTTATGTGGATCATGAAGGATATTATAAACATATCTAGATATTTACAATAGATGACAAACATTGTTAAGCTTGCTATCATACCTAGCAAACATATGAAGTTTTGAGATCTCTGTGTTAGGTAAGGCATTATAGCAGACAGAAAAAGGAACAGGGAAAAATGGGAATTGATGTTAAAGTCATAACAGTCATTAGATTCCAAAATGGTATGTGTGGACTGAGATTGTAAAGACCAAAGTTAGATTATATGGTAGTTTCTACTCTGGTGGTTTAAAGTTTTTCATTTAAACAGTCTTAGGATAGTCCCTGAGTGTAATCTAATATAATTGTTGCATAATAATTATCTTGTTTCATTTTTTATATATTCTCATGTTGCTCCTGCCCACATATTCATGTCACCTAACTTTTTTTTTTTCCACTGGACATTATTAGTTCATAATGTTGTGCTGTTTCCCCCAAACTCATTCCTGGTTCTTCTAATATCACCATTCATGGAAACATGCTACTATCAGCAACTACAGATTCATGTTTTTGTTTTTTTTTAATGCACCACAGCAACCTAGATGACATGAATTCATGGTTTCTAAGATATGCTTTAACCTTTTCATTCATTAATAAATCTAAAGCATCACTTCCCTGTTAGTATTCACTAGCTCCACTGCATATCAGGCCACTTTTGTTCAGGTTTATTATATCTTCCCCCTTTTTATAGTTCAGCTAACTCTCTGTTTTTCATTTCATTAATTAATTCATTTACATTCCAAGTTGCAATTTTCATATGCCATGGTCATCGTCAGATGTGGCCACAGCTTTGGTCAGTCAATGCTTTCAGTTCATGCTTTTTAGTAAGAGAGAAAAGATAGATATAGAAGATGTAGACTAAGTGATCAGCCTTGGTAATAAGCTACATGCCGCATCCTTGCTTACAGTTGAGAAAACAATACCAGTCAGTTTGGGTTTGGGGAGAACCTCATCTGTAATCTTTACACTATAAATATAACGTTTCTACACTTCAGGAACAGTTTGTAAAGAGACATTTAAACATTTTTATGAATTCATACTTTTATTTTTAAGATTCTGTATAACTAGAAATATTTACCAGATATGAGGAGGAGGAGGAGGAGGAGGAGGAGGAGGAAGAAACTGATGACATTAGGTTGACATTAGATTTATATTCTGACTTTCTACCAAAGAAAAATAGCGCTCAGTTCATAATGTCAAATAGAACAGAATGTCTTCGTTATACAACAGAATTTACAGAGCTCAAATGGAAATTTATTAAAAATTTTAATTAACATAGGAAGAAACATAAAAATATAATGTAGCAATAAAAGACCAATTGTAAAGGGCTACAAGATTAAATACTTATAACTAATTGCTACATTATCAGATATATGCAAAGGTATAAAAAGAAAAACACAGTTATAAAATAGAGTAATATAAAGTGACAAAGTTTTAGATAATAATTCCCCATAATAATTACCAAATACTTTCTTTATTTCTAGTCACGGTGAAAAGTAATTGTTTTGTTTCATTATTTGTTCCCATGATGCAATCTCTGAAACAGAATTTGGCAATTCAAAGCAACTGAGAAGAAATGAAATACAGAATTTGTCTCATCTTCCAGGGAACTTATTTGAAATGAGTTAAATACAGATGGTGAATTTCACAATAAAATCAGCAGCATAACAACCCATGACCCACAGTTTTAACAGGGACAAAGCCTCTCTGCAAGGAGAATAAATTGTGATCTTCATTCCAGTAAAGCTGAAGGCAGTGTATTACAGCATGCTCTGGTAAAGGTTCTATGATATTTTATAGTAGCAGGATAATATAGATATTTATTTGCCTCAAAAGGTTTACTTAAACTCCCCTTAAGGGAAAATCCCAGAATTATATCTCTACAAATCAATATATATTATTTGCTGTTTGACCATTTCTTTAGCTTTGGTAAAAACCAAAGAATGCAAGCCTGTTATAGGTAGGGCAATATTTTGTAATTTCACCTCCAAGTTCTGCTTCCAACTTGAGTAAACACAGTCTAAAAATGTCAGTGGGACTAAACCCTCATGGAAAATTTTAAGTCAGTAGATGATCTTTCTTAACCAAAATAATTCTTCTCTGGAACTATATAAATAACAGTGTCCCTCCAACCAAAGGGACACTGAGAGATTCCAAAAATAGCCTTCAAGAATATTTTTATAGTAATTTTATTAAAAATTACAATTATAACAATAAAAAGTAATACAAAATAAAAAAGAATAAAAAGAAAATATAGAAGGTGCAGAAATGAAAAAAGAAAGTAGAAAGAAAAATAGAAAAGAAATAAAAAATAAGAATATAATAAATAAAAAGAAGAAATGACTGCCCTCTTCATCACAAGTATAACCAATTTTAGTAACTTGTCACCTTCTCTTAAAATACAGCAAATGATCTCTTCTTCCCATATCCCACCTCTTATCTATAAACAAATCCATAAAGCTTCGTCATTTCAGTCTTAATGTCAACAAAAGTCCATTAAGGGTTACTAGAGTAAACAACCTATCTATTTTAACCTTGATCAAATAAACCAACTTTATATTCCTTCCTTTTACTCCTAACAATCTTGATCTTTAGTCCTTTCAAATAATGCCCTAGAACTTGATTATTATTATTTTTTTAGTTTTTCTTTGTCTCTCCTCACAAAATTCTTCAAAGCTTTAACAAGCCTCTTTTGTAAATACAATATAGGAAAATTATCCAGGTCACTCTCTTGGTTTGTTATTTGTAT